TATGCCCTGGAGCAGCTGAGGGCAGAGGTGGGCACCCAACCTACTCTGCCGCCCCGGGCCAGGGGTAGTAACCCGCAGCAGCAGGGCAGAGTGCCCAGCTGATAACATTTACACTGTAAAAATTAGTTTAACATTTAAATCTACCAAAATGTATCTATCTGTCCCTCTTCTCATGCCTCTGCTCGCTCTCTGAAAAATGGTGTGATCCTCCCTCCATTCAAGCTTGTGAGTTGCTTAGAGGTTGCTGTAAAAAGGGACATAAAACTGCCTAAAATTGAGAAGTGTGGCCTTCCTCATCTCGCAGGCAGGCACGTGGTCCTCCTGCACAGGACTGGGACCTGAAGGTGCAAAGGAGCATGACAGCTCATACCATGTACTGCTGCCCCTGCCTATCTGCTAATTTAGTGACAGACTTGGCAGTGGGTGAGTTCGGCAACTTTGGTGGGCAAATGTTCCTGCTTCAAAGCTCCAACTGTCATTCATTCAGAGCAGGAATCTCACTTGCCAACTCGGTACAGAACATTAGGACCAAATACAAATTCCAAAATTCTGCCAGTTCTCTGGAGCTGGGCTGCATTATATAACGGCAGATCGCACGGGGTGCTTTCCGACACCGTCTTGATAGTCTCAATCAGGCGGAGGCAACGTGGGTGGAACTCTTATCATACCAGGCTGACTCCCCGTGAATGAGCAGAGGACTTGCACGTTCTAGAAATAGTACGTGCATTAGTATTCCCGCATGAGAAGCTTCGGCACGCTGCTTTTTTTTTCTCTTTTTTTTTTTTCTTCCCTTTTTAATAAAGGCTCAAAATAAACTCCGATTCTGCAAGAACTTACTAGAGCGCACAGCAGCGAGTCCATGCAGGATCACAAACATCTGAGCGCCAGGTGACAGAAAGATTTCATTATCAGCTTGCCCTAGGCAGGACCCAGCATAAAACCCTGAACTTGGGGAGACTTTTTTCATGGGTTTCAGCAAGGTCTGGGATTTCAGCCTACCTCTGCTTGCACAGCATCCAGCACGATGGAGCCCTGAACCTTGACTGGACTTTTCTGGGGATGACTATAAAACAAATGGCACAAAGCGCTCAGGAAACAGACTTTCAAATGGCAAAACCCCTCCTATGAAGCATACAAACAGTTTTGCTTGTGCATGGGCAGGCAGAGGAAGGCAGTAATAAATGCCCGTAAAATCTCATTTATAATCAAATGTTTGATTTCAGCCAAACTAGTTTTAGTTTGTACTGGTCTAGTACTTCCTTGGCTATTTGTCATTTTTTGTGTTTAATATTTATATATCTTTTTATAAGTAAACCTGTAACATGCCCCTGACCGTTTCTATCCCAGGTTTCAAGCCAACATGATTTAAACTACGTGCCTGTAAAACCTCCCAGAACTTGACCTATAATGCAAATCTATACAGTCTTAATTATAGCAGCACCAGCAGCCACCGCACGAGTGAAATAGTTGAGCTTTCGTTACAAAGAGGCACAGTAGTTAAGGTCTGTCAGCGCTCCTGTTACAATCCCCATCTTGAAGAGGTTATAACTTGGGCTGTGTAAATTTGATTGAGCTGAAACTTGGGACTCAAACTGTCAGTCCATATAGGGAATTATCTTATGAATAATTGGCTAACCCATTGCTTGATTCACAGACCTTTATAAAACGATTTTTAATCGGTTTTAATGTTTTTTTCTTTTACTGACATCTAGGGTATGATTTTGGTACTTCTAGCTCTTCTGAAGCTCCATA